GTCGACTGCAGTTTGAGTCCTGGACCCGGTGGCTTAAACTCAATGCCAGGTGCATGTGCATGTTCAAGATTCTCAGAAGAGAATGGAGGAGAAGGGATTGCAGTATGGCTATCCCCCCTAGGGGGTGATTTCTCGCTTTCTGCTCTCCGTTTCTGTCTTTCTGGTGAGTGCAGATGCCCTATAGCAAAAATCTCTCAAAAAAAAAAAAAAAAGGAGAAGAAGAAGAAAGGTAATAAAAATTGTTGGCAAGAATGTAGAGAAATTAGAATCCTCATCTGCTACTGATGGCAGTGCCAACAGGCACAGAAAAGATGCCTGTTGGGACAACCAACTTGGCAAATCACCTGGTATTTTCTTTAAGAGTTTAACTTAAAGTTACCCAGCAATTCCACCCTTAAGTATGTCCCCAAGAGATATAAATACAAGTCCGAAGAAAAATGTGCACGTGAGTGTTTAGAACATTACTTATACTGTATAAAGGGTATAAAAGTGGGGAAAACAAATATCCATCAACGAATGAGTGCATAAGGAAAATGTAGATATATCCATACAATGAAATACTATTTGTAAATAAAAGGAATAAAGTATTGATTATGCTATCATCTTGAAAACATGCTAAATGAATGAAGTTACCCACAAAAGTAACATATTGCGTTACTTCATTTTTATGAAATATCCCGAATAGGTAAATCTGTAGAACCACGAAGTAGTTTAGAGGTTGCCTGAGGGTGGGGTGATAGGAAGAAACCATGACTGACTGTTATGTACTAGTATGTATAGAGTTTCCTTTGAGGGTGTTAAAATGTTCTAAAATCAATTGTTGCACAACTCAGAATATATCAAAAGCTACTGAATTGTGCATTTAAAATGGATGAATTATATGGCATATAAATTCAATCTCAATATTAAGCTTTTTTAGTTTTTAAAAGTTAACATGCTTTGGGACCAGCAGGTGGCATGGTGGTTAAGGTGCTGGATACTCCCACATGGCTGACCATGGTTCAAGTCCTGGACCTCATGGCTTTCTCTCTCCTTTTTCCTCTCCTT